TTCAATCTGACCGTTACGCCTCAATCTGACCGTTACGCCTCAATCTGACCGTTACGCCTCAATCTGACCGTTACGCCTCAATCTGACCGTTACGCCTTAATATGACCGTTACGCCTCAATCTGACTGTTACGCCTAAATATGACCGTTACGCCTCAATCTGACTGTTACGCCTAAATATGACCGTTACCCCTCAATCTGACCGTTACCCCTCAATCTCACCATTACGCCTCAATCTGACCGTTACGCCTTAATCTGACCGTTACCCTTTAATCTGACCGTTACGCCTCAATCTGACCGTTACCCTTTAATCTGACCGTTACGCCTCAATCTGACTGTTACGCCTCAATCTGACTGTTACGCCTCAATCTGACCGTTACCCCTCAATCTGACCGTTACCCCTCAATCTGACCGTTATGCCTTAATCTGACCGTTACCCCTCAATCTCACCGTTACCCCTCAATCTCACCATTACGCCTCAATCTGACCGTTACGCCTTAATCTGACCGTTACGCCTCAATCTGACTGTTACGCCTCAATCTGACTGTTACGCCTCAATCTGACCGTTACCCCTCAGTCTGAGCATTACACCTCAATCTGACCGTTACTCTTCAAGCTGACATTGCGCCTCAATCTCACCATTATGCCTCAATCTGACCGTTACCCTTCAATCTGACCGTTACCCTTCAATCTGACCGTTACGCCTCAATCTGACCGTTACCCCTCAATCTCACCATTATGCCTCAATCTGACCGCTACCCTTCAATCTGACCGTTACCCCTCAATCTGACCGTTACCCTTCAATCTGACCGTTACCCCTCAATCTGACCGTTACCCTTCAATCTGACCGTTACGCCTCAATCTGACCGTTACCCCTCAATCTCACCATTATGCCTCAATCTGACCGTTACCCTTCAATCTGACCGTTACCCCTCAATCTGACCGTTACCCCTCAATCTCACCATTATGCCTCAATCTCACCATTATGCCTCAATCTGACCGTTACGCATCAATCTGACCATTATGCCTCAATCTGACCGTTACCCCTCAATCTCACCATTATGCCTCATTCTGACCATTACCCTTCAGTCTGACCGTTACCCTCAATCTGACCGTTACCCTTCAATCTGACCGTTACCCCTCAATCTGACCGATCATCTTGTGGATGAGTCATTCTCTGAAAGTATTACCTACCATTCTGTATAGCTAGTAATATTTTATCCTTTCCAGTGTCTTAATAGAACTGGCTTTGTCGTGGTGAAGGCTGTTTATAACCGCTGTTTTTTATGTTTTCTTTTTCCTATTGTGACGTTATCATTTAAGAAGTTAAGCAGTCCCAGTGTTGGTGTGCAGTGTGATTAGGTTCGGACACATGAAGAACATGTGAAGCATGTCTCCCGGACTCTGTTTACATCACCAGCAAATATCAGAGTCGCTTTTTCTAGCTCTAAATAATTAAACTGGTGTCCAATATGATCAGTTCAGAATTTTGAACTGTATCAGTTTGGAGCAAGAATCCCTCATGGGTTTTAACCTTTGTTTGACTGTTGCAACCCACTGTTCCTCTGTGAACATTTGTTTTTATTCTGATTTCCATACCTTTATAAGTCCTGTGTTAATGGTGATCAGGGGGGGTCTGGAGGAGTCTTTTAATTTATTAAGCATAGTGGATATTTGTGATTCTATGGGTATGGTTACCTCAGGTATCTTTAATTTGTGAGGCAGTCTCTTATTTGTAGGAACTTCCAGAAGTCTTTGTGATTTAGTATATTGTATAATTCTAGAAATTGTTGAAATTACATTAAGGCATCATTTAGAAAGAAGCAGTTTATACTGTCAGTCTCTTTTGTATGCCAACTCTTCCAAAAGATCATTTTCCCCTTTATTTTTGTGTTTAAAAACTTGATGTGCCATAAAGCGACGAAAGCTGCTGCAAAGATGTTCTCAGCTGGAGACCAGGAAATGAAACAGAAAAGATGAGAAGCAGGAACCAATGAGCCGCGGCAGCATGCAGACGTCTGGGAGCCGCTGCTAATCTAGTTCCTTCTGCTCAGATCCCACAGTTTCTGTTAGACGACTGCAGCCGCTACGGGAAACCCTGCAGGATTTTCTGCACTCAGCCCAGACGCCTGGCGACCATCGCCGTGGCGGAGCGGGTGGCCGCAGAGAGGGGGGAGAGTGTGGGTCAGACTGTGGGTTATCACATCAGGCTGGAGAGCAGGTAGGTTTCAGCTTTAGGCTAAAATAAAACGAACCGTTCTAAGATGAAGGGAAGTGATGACGCTGCTTTCAGGTGCTTTAAAATGTCGCCCGCTGAAATCCATCTCTGTATTTGTAAATCTCAGGGTCTCTCCCAAGACACTGCTCACTTTTTGCACCAGTGGAGTTCTCCTGAGGACGCTGATGGCCGGAGACGGCAGCCTCACGACTGTGACCCACGTGATCGTGGTGAGCCTCCCGATCTGCTGCCGTAGGACGATCTGAGGATAATAACCAGCTAGATGCTGTTTACAGAGGAAATGTTTCTAAACTAACTGATAAATGATCGATGCTGCGTACTCAAATAAAATAAACGTGGTTTAGTTTTATTTAAAAATGGTTTGACCTCTGACCTCCTCCAGCTTTTTCCTTAGGTGTTGTGGCAGGGATGACTGATTGTTCTCCTTCCACACAGGATGAGGTCCACGAACGGGACGGCCTGACAGACTTCCTTCTCACCAAGCTGCGGGATGTTCTCCAGAAGGTTCCCACCCTGAAGCTGATTCTGTCCAGCGCAGCTCTAGATATAGATCTGTTCCTCCAGTACTTCGGCTCCTGTCCGGTGATCCGCCGTAAGTTGCGCCCCCACTGTGTGTCTAGGCTCCGTTTTTCTGCTCTCCGCTGCTTCAGTCCAGCTTTGAGAACAGAGATTTGCAGGTTTTCCCTCTGTGGATCTAAATGATCATCTATGGTAGACATAACTGCATGGAGATGGACTGAACCCGTTATTATCACCACTCTACAGGAGGCACAGCCCCTCATTTAACCAGAGGAACAGGCTTTATTAAATCTTTAAAACTTCAGCAGTTTTTAAGTGACTGCTGTTAAATTAGTGGAAAATCTGCAACAATGATTAGCCCGAGTTAAAGTTCACTGAACTAGTGAAGTGGAGGTGGACGGTCAGTCGTCTGAGGTGGACTTGGAGGGAGGTTACCGGAGGGATGAGGTCATGAAGCGACGGCTAGCCATTAAACCCTGAAAGAAGTATACTGGTTCCCAGCTGCTGAAAGCTGGACTCTGACCCTATCCTGTGGTTCTGGTTCCTTCCTGGTTCCTGCAGTCAAAGGGAAGCAGTTTGAGGTGAAGCAGTTCTTCCTGGAGGACATCCTGAAGCAGACGGGCTTCAGCAGGCAGAACGCTTCCAAATACCAGGAGGAGATGCAGAGAAGTATGAAGCTGCTCAGCATTTGTGACCCTGCAGCCTCCCGTCTCCGCCTTTACTTAACCCTCCATCTGTTTCCAGAGGAGACGCAGCAGAAACGGTTGAATGAATGGTTTGAGGCAGCAGGGAGCGGTGCTGTGGGTGCGACTTTGACCCACATGTTTCCTCCGGGCCTCCTTGATGCCGGCGGCTGTGGGGACAGAGAGAAGGAATCCATCCAGCAGGTGAGATATACGTCCTGTTGGATCCTCTAAGGGTTTCTTTTTCTCTCCTTTTGTTCATTTGTACCTTTGATGCTACGTTCAGACCACACATGATTCAAGCAGCAGAAGCAGCTGGTTTACATGCATGCTATGTTAGACACACATCAAAAGGTCCAGAAGCAGCTGCTGCTGGAGTTAGAAAAATGTAACTTTAGCTGCTGGATGCCCCGCATCAACCAATGAGAGAAGCTGATCTGGGAGCTGGAAGGGAGTCAGACACAGCACGTGAAAAACCACATAGAGGCGAGTGTTTAGACAGAGAGACAGAGCAGATGTGTTTACGGTGCTTCGCATTATCTGTCACTTCTTTATCAGGTTTGGGACGGTTTATTTCAGCAGATGGCCGCTCACACTGAGCCTGGTTCTGCTGGAGGTTTCTTCCTGTTCAAAGGGAGTTTTTCCTCTCCACTGTCGCTACAAGCATGCTTAGTGTGAGGGATTGCTGAAGAGTCAATGAGTCGATGCAATCAGCTGGTTTTCCTTAGATAGAAAACTTTGAATCAATCTGACTGGATGATCTGGTGAACTGTAAAGTGACCTGAGATGACATGATGTGAATTGGAGCTATAGAAATAAACTGAATAGAATTCATTTCCTGAACCCCATCCCCGGATCCCTCCTACTGAAGGGAAAGGCTCCTGGTCTCCACTATTTAGCAGATAACCTGTTTTAGATGCAAACGATGCGTTCTTTCTTCATGGCTGCTTTAAAATTTGCACAAATTTCCCATTTATTTCATTCTATGTATAAACATAAACTTAGCAAAGTGAGCTGACAGCTCTGCCGCCAGCAGGAGGCGCTGCCTGAACCTTTTCTTGTTGTATGACAGAGTGAGAAGGACCCAGAGCAGCTGAAGCCATGGCTGCTAAAGGAGATGGACTCCTGCATCTCCAGCATCTTCCTGCATGAAGACCAGGATGCTTTCAGCCAGCTCTTCAACCTCATCCTGCATGAACGGGTCAGCGGTAAGGTCATGTCCTCCGTCCCTTTCTGAAAACAAACATCTGAGCCACTAGTCTTTGAAAGGCAGGAAGAACGTCCCTTTTTGAAGCCCTGGTCACACCTTGGCCAGAAGGTGAGTGAGATGGATCCTCCCCTGGAGAAACTGGCAGGAAGTGACAGGGCCGTAAGGAAATCACGTTTTGTCCTGTTTGGTAGAAAAATAATTAACTTGTTGGTGAGGTGAGTTGATACTGTCGAGTAGAGATGGAGCCTTATTGTGAAGGTGTTCTCCTCTGTTCAGTGGACTACACCCACAGTGAGACGGGCTCCACACCTCTGATGGCTTCAGCAGCGCGAGGATTCCTTCCAGAGATGCAGCAGCTGCTCTCCATGGGTGCTGACATCAACATGAGGGCATGTAACGGATGGTAGGAAGGCTCATCCTCCTGCCCCATGATGCAAAGCTCTGCTTCTGAGAACTAGTGGTGCCAGTTTCTAAAATGGACCAGGAACCACGTTCCAATTGTTCCTGTTGTGTTTCAGGACGGCGTTGGACTTTGCTGAACACTTCCAGCAGACGGATGCTGTGGATCTGCTGAAGACCTCCATGTGAGTCGGTTGAACTCTGTAGAGATCATGGATGCAAAAAGCTGCTTAAAGGTATCATGGAGGATTTCCATGAATTTTTGAAAAGATCGCCCTCTCCACTTAAAAACAAAATTTACATGCAGAACCCTGTACCCGCTCCCGAGAGGAACGCTCACTCTGTTTAAAGTTGCTGTTCTCATAGCTCATACAAGCTTACTGTGTCCCAACGCCCCCCCTTATACAGCGGGGACTATATAGTGAACTTTATAGTGAACTCAGTTAACTGACCGTTCAGACAGATGATCACTGCTTTTTGCTCCGTTGGTCTCATAACTCCTCCACTGCGCGGTGCCTGCGCCATCTTTATTAGTCGCCACTGTTAGGCAGCAACAGCCTATGGAGACAGCGGGCCGCTTTGACAGCAAATCCAACAATGCTTAGCGTGGAGAGCTCTCCGTGCAAAGCATTCTGGGATATATCTGCCTCTTCTGAGGCCTGTCTTTTCTTCACTTGGAGCCAAACAGGAACAGACCAGATGAAGCTACTATGAGAAAAAGCAGAGAGAGCAGAACGTTAGAGATTGAACTAACAGATTCTGCAGAATAGAGATAGAATGAAGCAGAATGATGAAAAGGGGTCCCTATGTCCTCCAGCAGTCTAAGCCTATAGCAGCAGAACTATAGAGATGGCTCAGGTCCCCCCGGTAGAAAAAGGGTTCCAGAAGCTCAACAGTCTAGTAGTCCCGTGCTGTAGGTTTTACCTGCTGGTTTCTAAGCAGTCTGGGCCGTAGATGTATTGGACCAGACTGGAAAAGTGTTTGTGTTGCTGTGCAGACCTCTGCGGCAGGCAGAAGACCGGGAGGAATCCACTTTGATCCATTGCAGCCCCACGGAGCTGAACAGCGAGGCACAAGAGCTCCTTAGACAGTACCACCACAGCTTCGATGACCAGCAGGTGGACCTGGACCTCATCATGACGCTGCTTCTCAACATCTGCACCAACACCAATGAGGGTGAGGCTTCCCACTCGTTTACAGAGCAGCTGGAAGGAGGCTGGATGTTCTCTCTGTGGTTGGTTTGTCTTCATCAAAGCTTGGTGGGACGCTGCAGGTGGCTCCATTTTGGGGCTCCACAGCTTCTCCCTAATGACTGAGGGAAATATTCAGTCTCAATACTGTATATGGAGCCTTCAGGCTGCTGCTGCTCCGTCAATCCAGAAGCTGGCAGATCTTCATGTGGCTGGAAGATAAAATCTGCACAACTAAACCAGAAAGATGCCTGTAATTAAAGGTCTGCTGCTGATGGACATGAAGTATTGCTAAGTGGGGACCTAGTTTTGGAAAACTGATACTGTAAAATAGTTCCAGGGTTGTTTTTCCATCTCTCAGATGGTGACGTTCACTTTCACTTCACCAAGGTTGATTATTTTGCTGTCATTCTTCGATGTAATCCAAAATAGAAACAAGAGCAGAAGAATAGTTTCCCTCCTTTGGAAACGCTGAGGTCCAGACAGGCTTTTAGCTAGCCGTGCATATGGCCGTACATTGTGCTCTTTACTTGAAATATTAGTAATTTTACACCCGTTTTGGATATGTACGGCTTTGGTACGGCCTAATTTCCCCCGAAATATGGTGGAATATCTAACATCCCTACAGTAAACCTCATTTGCGGGAACAAGCACGCTGCGCTGTTTGCAAGCAGGTTAGCTTGAAACATTAAAAAAGCTTCTGAAAACTCATCGAATGCCTGATAGCTATAGGATTATTTTGGCGGGTTTTTTTTTTCGTTCTTTGGAACAGTGCTGTCCGTGGAATGGGGGGAAAGCAACAGCTAAACGCGTGCATAGGCTGTTCGGTATTTTTAATTGTTGTATTCAGCTGCAGCTCACACTGTATGATGAAACTGCAGGGTTTAAAAGTTCACAGCTCACCATGTTTGTTCTCACGCTGTGCGACCGGACGCTCTGATGCGATCTCACGACGGCCGACCGAATTTCCAACATGTTTGATTTTCTCCTGACCTTTTGATTCCTGATGGGGAGGTGGTCGATAGAGGCTGTTCGCCCCGCGATAACCCTTTATGCTACACAATGAGGCTGAAACTCGTCCTGATCGAACGTTCTCACACGACAGCAGAATCAGGCCAACAAGGGCAAAAAAATCATACATTTTAATGCCAGATTTAACGTAAATGACAACTGGGGGAAGATTGGTACTAAATCTGTTGCAAAAGTCAAACAGATGCTCCAGTTTTTTCATGGTTCTTCGATGTAATTGTGGTCTTTAATTCCAAGGATCGATGAATAGATACTGATTATCAATAGCAGTGCACTTATTTTGCACATTTACAGCCTTCAGCACACATCAGCTTACATTTACAAAATGTACTAAGCAGTGACGGCTGGTGGAGTTTCTTCCAGGGGGCGCTATAACGTCAAAATAAATGTATACCAAAAAACAATCAGATGTATACTAAGGCATCACACCAGTATATTTATATGAATGCCAACGACAAAAAACAACATTCTGAAATGTTCAGCAAAGTGCTTTAAATCAGTCCTAGCTGTCTTTATCCATGCTGGATCAGATCCTGACCTTTGAAAAGGAGGCAGGGAAACCAGGATAAAG